ATAAAGTCGTAAGTGACCCTCTTGAGTCTTGACACTTAAATTTAGACTTATTCCTATTAAGCATTTACATTGTTCGAAACTATGTATCTAAATTAAAAATTTAAGTGATCAATGTGAATAAATTCAAATTTCAACGTCAAAATAAAAGATACAGGCAAATTTAGAAGACCACAAATGATCTACTTTTAAGTCATAAATAATAATCAAACTAAAAATAGCTATAGCTAGTTATGAAATGATTGTAGAGAAACTCAAATCAAACTAGGCAAGTGATCTCCAATGACTATTATTACTTTGATCATACAATAAGATTTTTTATATGATGTAGAACCAAATTTTGACTAAAAGGGAAATTTTATTTGGCATTATAATTCCCAATTCCAATAGAAATACCACAATTCACACAATACATATGTTTTTGTAATAATCTTTTTCAATGTCACACATTGAATTAGGACTTGTAAAACATTAAGATTTCAGAAAAAAAAAGTCTTTGTGTAGGACTTGAAGTCATCAACGTGCAACTAAAGGACTGATTGTGTGTTTATATTTGGCACTCTCTACACACATATAAACTCATTCATATGTACTTGAAAACCGTCCAAAATCGCAATGGAGCAGTAAATATTCTTTCATCGTTAAATATCAAAGAATACTTTTGGTTCGAGTTTTAGAATTGAAATCACCTTTAATTAAAAAAAATTACTCCTCGATATGAGATATTTCAGCATGAATCCACATAGTCAATCTCAAAGTGAGCAGTTTAAATACCGAGTAAGAAAATAAAAACAAAGATTTGCTTGAGAATTATTCAACATTATTGTAGGGTTGTTAAGTATTATTTTTTTTCATTATTAATTAAAGATTTGATTTAAAAAAAACACGTTCTACTTCTCAAAATAAAATAATAAAGCGATACGAATTTTATTCAAACTATAATCAAACACAGTACTCTATAACAAACAAGAAATAAAACCTTTTGAGCAAGCTGATTTATAGAAAATCATTATGGAACTTTTTTGTGACATGACACACATAAGGTCCACATCTCAAAAAAAAAAAACAAGCTTTAGGAATAAAATCGCCCTTGATAGAAAGTGTGATTCACTCAAAATGAAAAAGTATCGACATAATTTTTGTTAAATCTGAATATAAATATCAAACACCGAATAACAAATCAGAAACAAAACCTTTTGAATAAGATTTATGGGAAATCATTATGGAATTGTATTTTTTGTGACATTGACATACTTGAGGTCCACATCTAAAAAAATAAAAAGTAAACCTTTTTACGTGTTTCTCAACGTGTTGCATTTTATTTTTTCTTTTGTTCCCAAATCCCAATTATATGCATGTTTTATAAACCTTTCAATGTGACATAAATAATATGTTACATGTATTGTGTGAATGGTGATAATTTCTACACTAGATTAATGCTAAATGGAACAACTTTTGTCATTAAACAAAAAAATGTACTATTAATCCTATTTAACTAAGGATTATTAGAACATCACGTTAGTTATGAGCTATTTATCAACAATGAACATAAACCCTTTCACTTAAAAAGAAATAAGAATTAGCTACAATATATTGTTGAATTTTTTTATTTTTTTTCATTCGATGTTTGATATTCATATTGGGAGTTCGATTAACATGGCATGAACTTGGATTGGTCGAGCTCTAACACGGTACCAGACACTGGATGAAAAAAATAATCAACAATGAATATTGTAGCTATTATTTTTTTTAAGTGAAAAGGGTCAATGTTAATTCTAGTTATTGACTTAAAACATTCTTGTTACACTTCATCAATTTATTTAATAGCATAAATATTTGTTAGTTAAATCATTATGAATTTTTTTTTGTCCCCTCAGACCTTATTAATAAATTCTGATTCTAATCCTCATGTATTATATAATTAATCACATTTAATTTTTAATTAATTGAAATATGCACATATAATCTCTGTGTTTGTAAAATATTTAAAAATAATCTATCATGATTATCAATTATTCCACTATTCAATTACATCTCGTATTGTTACATTGAGAACAATTATAAAAATAGTTCAAAAGATAACATTTTTTATATATAAAAAATCATAACACTCTATATTTAACTAAACAAGTATGTGTTACCGATTATCGACTATCACAATAATTAAAATTATCGATAACCAAGGAACGGAGGTACTACTATCAACTATCCAATATACAAATACATTTCATAAAAGTCAAAATATTTTAAGATCAATGTGTTTCCTTTTGGGAAACAAAAAGAAAAAATGTGTCAAAGAAAAAATGTTATTTTATTATAAAGAAAAAAAAAGGCTTTGAAAATCATTTTTCATGGTTAATGTGGGCCCAATTTGTGGACCAAATACCCATAAACCGTGTATGGTAATAAAAGCCCAAATTTGACCCATCTACTTTGTAAAGGACGTGGGCCCATGAATGGTTCAGAGGACGGTTCGTGGGTCCCGTTGGATCGTTAATCTAGAGTAATTAAGCCGTATACGGTATCAGTGTAGTTTAACGTATTATAACCGACAAATGTTATGATAAAGTTATAGATATTCCTATATATCCTTAATTAGAGATCGTGAGTTCAAGCCTTAAGTATGACTTCGTCTTTATTAAAAAGCGTTTTACCCTCGATGCAAAATTTTCCGACACAAATATGAATGTATGAAAATAGTCGGGCCTTGATATGGTAGTTGAATACTAGATGAAACCAAGAAAACATACTAAGATGTCTAAGACTTGTTTATATTGGACTTAAAAGTCAATCTTTCTTTGTTAAACTTTATGTATATTCAAATAGAATATTACAATGAGGTAGACATGAATTCATGAATTTTGAATCATAATTTTTTTTACTATACATATTAGGCGAATATCTTAGAAAGTTGAATTAAAACTATTAAATTCTACTGATCCCATAAATTTTATTATGGCTCATTCTTACAAAGAAGGAACTATAGCTAGTATATAACCTACCAACAAGGATTGTGGTGGAGTGGTAAGTACTCTTTCATCCTTAATCAAAAGGTCTCGGGTTCGAGCCCCCTTAGGTACGGAGTCGCCTTTGTTAGGAAGTGTTTTACCCCTCAATGTGGGACTTTCCGGCGCGAATCCGGATTTAGTCGGGGACCAATGTGGATACCGGACACCGGATGGGAAACCAAAAAAAAAAAAGTATATAACCTTATAGGGTTGTGTTTTAAAAGAATAAATTGAAAGGGAAATATTTTTTCCAAAAAAATGTTTTGTTGGAAAATAAGTGGACTTATTATTTTTTATTTTATTTTTTTGTGTTTGATAAGTAAATAAAAGTATATTATCTTGAGTATTTATGTATAGTCTAGCAAAATACTATGTGGATGGATCGGAATGGCATGGAGAGTGAGGATTCGGGGGTGGGATGATCAAATGGCGGGTTTTGGGGATGTTGGGTCGTTGGGGAGGAGACAACAAACTTGAAATGTCACTAATGAAACTGTTTTTTCTCCTTTCATTAAAAAAATCATTTTCCTCAATTTTGAGAAGCTTGTTTCCCTAATGTTTTGATCCACCAAATATTTTTCTCCGTACCAAATACACTTTAAAGAAAAAAAGACTTTGTCTAGCAAGTATTTTTAGTTGGTCAAACAAACAAAGAGCTTGTCAAGCAAGTTCTTGAAAAATTCTATCTAAAGAAAAAGAAAATGCAGAGTAAAAGTGGACAAACTTACAAGAAAATGATGGCCACCAATACATAAGTAATATTTTTTTTAAAAAAAATATATGTTATACACATTCCAACCCTTTTACTATAAGGTTATGAACAACCAACCATCATACTACATATTATTCAATTATTTTCTCTTCTTCCATGATTAATTATAGTAAAAACAATTATTTTTGTTGGTGTTGCACATATAAAACTTCAATAGATTTACCCACTATGGGTGAAAATTGAAAAAATATAGAATAAAAAAGTCCACCCACTATGTAATTCACTAAAACAACAATTTATGAACTCTCACCCTATAAAAAGTTTACCTACTAACTAATAATCTAAATTTATTATGAATAGACTATGACAAGGGGGTGAAAGAGGAACGTAGACGTAATTGATAAAGTTGTTATCACGTGGTTAGAAGATTTTGAGTACAAGTTGTATAAATAACTTATTGCAGAAATATAAAAAAGATTGCACACAAAAGATGTGGTACGATCTTTCCTTGAACTCTGCAACTATTATGCCCCTTCTCCGAATCATTCACATAGGGGTTGTTGATTAGCAACTTGCCCATGTGAATTCCAATATTGCAAATTATTAATTTGTTTATTAGACTAATAACAAGTAAATAAATAAATATAACCTTAGTATTTATTGAAATTAGGTTATGAACTTATGATGGGGAGACACTTTTTCACAAGTTGCAAATAACACATTGGTTTGTTCCTCTTTTTGTAAGTAGTTGACTTAGTATTGTCTTCTAATTATTTTTTTGAACCTTTTTATACTATTTTGAATGATGAAAAGTCAAATCTTTTCACGATGTAATTTATATTAGACGAATTTAAAATTTATACTTTACTAGTTTCTACATAACCTCTAGTAACAATTAGATTTATAGTTAGATATTTGTGAATATTTTAACTCAGTGAAAGCATGAAAGGTCACAGGGAGAGTAAACTTCCGATTGATTAACAAAAGATACAAAGTAATAATTTAAAATGTTCTATTATTATTCAAAAGCTGAATGAAGTCCTTCCATTTTAACGCAAACTCGTAAAATGGAATATCTTTTCATTGAAGGCTACATAGAAACTAAAAAGATTAAAAAAATCATATCGAACCAAATTAATTCGGTTCTTCGATTTTTCGTCGGTTTTCATTTTAGTTTTTTTAAGTGTTGGGCCAAAGCCCAACACCCTTATAGCCCAAATATTCAATTCCTAATATTTTAGCCCATACCCGTTAGGGTTTAACTCCATTTGAACCAATTAGGTCATAAACTATTTCCCCTTTCCAATTTTCTCTTTTTTCTCTCTGTGCAAGTAGAGCTGCAGTAATTGGGGAGAAATTCAACTCGAAATTGAGCGATTCGCTATAACTGGTAAGTTTTTATATCTTTCTCCATTTTTTAAGCTAAATTTTGATGTAATTTTCAGCGAAAGTGATAACTTTTTGTGTAATTTGCTAGAGGTTTGAATTTGTCTGTAACTAGGTTTAGAAGTGATAAAAGATGCAACATGATGAGGTTATATGGCAAGTTATCAGACACAAGCATTGCAGTTTCATGGCCAAGTGAGTTCTTTTTTAGTTTTTGAGTTTGCACTTCATATGATATCTGTTAGAGGTTTTTGTTTGATTTTTTTTGTTGCGACATTTACAGGATTGAGACTGGGATATTTTGTCGAAACCCATATAATGTAACTGGGATTTGCAACCGTAGCTCATGTCCTCTGGCTAATAGCCGGTACGCCACCATTCGGGATCATGATGGTACTGATTTGCAGCTTATTTTACTGTAATTGTTGAAATGTTATAAAGATGTTATAGCTTTTGTTTAAATAAAAGAACCCACAAAAAGGTAGCTGCTTTTTTCAAGTTTCAGGTAAAAAAAGAGTAAGAATAAGTAAATGGCCATATATTTGGATTATACTGATTTAATGAATAACTTGGCTGCTACAGGAATGGCCATATATTTGGATTATACTGATTTAATGTTTTTCTTCTGGGTTTTGAGTTATGAATCATGAGGTTAACTTGAAATTTTGTTGATGCGGTAAGTCAATGTGGTTGTCTAAATGTTCTGATATTTATAGTAATCTGTCTAAGGAATCTAGTCTGGTTTCGAAGGCTTCTCCAAGACTGCTTCTTTCTGTATATTTTCTGTGGAAACTGGTACTCTGTAATCATAGGAGTGATTGTGGGTATCTCCAAAGTTTAATCATAAATCATGTACTTTGGTAGAGTTTCTTTTGGATCCTCCGATGAACTCTGGTTGGTGTGCATTTGCTTATTTACTTGTTTTTTTGTGCTATGCAGGAGTATTCTATTTGTACATGAAAACAATAGAAAGGGCTCACATGCCAAACAAACTTTGGGAACGAGTTAAATTGCCAAGAAATTATGAAAAGGCTCTTGAAATCATTGATAAACATTTGGTAATGAAATTAGCTTTTTTTTTTTACTTACTGTTGTATACGTTTTGTTCTTTAATGCAATAACTTCTAACTTCCCTCCTCCATCCTCTCTTTGTCAACTACCACAGATGTATTGGCCTAAGTTTCTTGTGCACAAGGCAAAACAACGTTTAACAAAAATGACTCAGATGCGAATAAGAATGAGGAAACTTGCTTTGAAAACAAGGTTCGACTTCCCTTCTAAGACACTTAATATGCATACACTTATCGATTTATTGGCTTAAATTTTACTTTTTATGGCCTTGAGCATTACTATCGAGGAGTTTAAAGGTGCATGCTTCAAAGTTTTAGATTCTCGTTTGTTTAATTGATCTGCGTCTTCATTCCATTTCACCTTCTCTCACCCTTCTTCCAGAAGAATGAATATAAAACAATTGATTCCCTGGATTCTTCGTTAGTAAAGGTTGGGAGGACGCTTAGATGCAGTACAAGTAGACTTGCAGTTAGATGCTCATCTAATAATCCAGAAGTGAAAGGGAGTGCCCTGCTTTGATTAAAGAAGGTGGGGTTGTGGGGCTTCATCAAAGAGCATTTATTTATTACATCTTCGATAACTATACCAATGGCCTGCGATATTGGATAAGGACATACCCAGTGTATGCAGAATCATAACTATCACAGCTTATCCAGTTGCCCTTTAGTTCCTGGATATGCAGCTAATCATCCGTGAAAGAATTTGCTCTGATACGTTTCTTTAAATTGCATAGTTATTGGTATGGCCATCATTTAACTTGAGTTAAATAGTTCAAGTAACCTTCCTCTATGATCATATCAACGGTCATTGCTTTTGGCAAAGGCCTGGACATCCTTTTATTCCTTCCCATCCAGATTATGTACAACATAATTGCCATAGCTGTAATAGCACTATGTTCGTCCTATGAGTATTTGATATGACAATGAACTTTTTAACAGCTGGGTGGTTTCAAATTCGTTTAGTGGGCTTAACCTCCCATGTCAATTAGGTGTTGCTAGGAGAATATTTCTGTTTCTCTTAATTCAAACTAGTACTTACAAAAAAGCTTGCTTTAAACCAATGAATTAATGGTACCAGTTGTGTTTTTGAGATCATAAACACTCCTATCAACTTTCAATAAGGGGCTTGTTTACTTCCATTTGGTGGTACCACCTCCCCTTTAGGAAATAGATCTTTGCTTATGGATGTTTGACTGTTCACATTTTTCTGCACTAGCTAGTATATGTTTTAATTTGTTGTGTGTCCAGGGAGAAGATAATGACCACACCAAGGAAAGAAACAAAAAGAGAATCTCGGCGACAGGAAAAGGCTGAAAAAGCTGCTCTTCTCGATAAAGTGAGTTTATGCTTGGAATTCGTTCCCTTTTGTTCATGGTAGCTTGTTGTCTTCTTCCTACTTGGTAGATCATCTGGCTATATCCTTTACAATTTATGCCATTTGTATTCTGCAGAATATTGAGAAGGAACTGCTTGAACGCCTTTCAAAAGGAATGTATGGCGACATATACAATTATCCTGAGCAGAAGTATCAAGAGATTCTTGCTAGAGAAGCAGAGCAAGTGGCTAGTGAAGAAGAAGACGAGGAGGTCTTTCTCAAAAGCTTTGTGATATTTTCTCAATATTCCTTGTTTTCCTAGTTTTGCCTTCCTCTCTTGGTTGCTACCCACCCTCCATTTTTTTATTTCTTTTGGGAGTTTGGTGTGAGGGTGTTGTGATTCTAGCTAGTAACTTGGGATTACCCTCCTCTGGTGAAACTTTGGCTGATACAATGAGATTGGTCAATTTATTCATTCTTCTGTTAATGACTGAAATAAACAGGAATTTGAAGTAGAATATGTTGAAGGCTATGAAGATCTTGAAGAAGAAGATGACATTGAAGATTTTGATGGTTTTGGAATTAGAGACAATGGCTTGGATGCTGATACTGGTAATTTCTTGATGGATATGCTCTCCTTTGCTCATCCTGTCTCCCCTTCCCACCGTTCTGTTAGTGCAATATATATTAATGACACTTCATCCTTTAGTGAGGAGGCAATGCGCATATTCAACTCATAACTAACAGCCCCCATAGGTTTACCTAGACACCAGGAAGTAAAAGAATATGCATTTGTATTCTTGTGATGTTTAGTAAGCGTTTAGACAATACTTGGTTCAAGTAGAAAACAAAGAGCATTTGAAGCTGAAAAAGAGTACTAGCTTGTATACTTTATGAAGTTTTCTGCTTTTGAAGTAGAAATCACAAATTTGTAGCGGTCGCATTCTTCTGGTGTATTGTGACTGATACACATATTATATCTTTGGCTGAAGCATGTATTCATGTCTATTATTGTGACAAAGTTGATTTAAAATTAATAATTGTGAACTAGTTGTGTATGATCAGAATCTTGTGTTTCTTATCTAAAGCTTGTCTGGTAATGTTAATCCTTGTCTATGCTTTATATATATACTCGTCTAATGTGGGAATCACTCCACTAGGAGACGATGATGATGATGACGACGATGACGATGACGAAGAAGCTGTTACAGTTCATCGGAAGAGTGGTGGAAAAGATTCTGCTTTAGCTAGAAGAAGAGCTGAGAAAGATGATCCAAGTGCCAAAGCAAAGAAAAAGGCGAAAGTACTCGTGGAGGTAAAAATTACTAACACATATTTGTTTCCTAACATATAATAAACTGTTGTGGTTGGGTTCTTCCCAAGATCCCGTGCATAGCGTGAACTTAGTGCACGAGACTGCCCTTAATTTTGTTTCCTATTGTGTACTGCTTTACTGCACACTTAATTCTTGTTTTTGTTTTGAAAAAAATCATTTTTTTGTTATTTATCTCCTAGGTTGAGCACGACGATACAAGTGCAAGACAGACAACAGTACAATGAGAGCTTGCTTTTTAAGTGGCACGGCAAAAAGATTTGGTTGGACACAAATGTTACGCGAAGAGATAGAACAAACTGGATCGTACTAAATTTTGATATTGTTGTAACAAAATTTTTGTGGTAATTGTTCGTATTTTCGAGTAGAAAATAGAAAAAAAAGAACTCTTGGGCTGGGCCAAATCTGTTTTGGTTAGGCCCATAATCAGCTTGGGTTGTGATCTTTAGGCCCATAACACAATGGCTGGAAGAAATGATTTTGTATTACTCATCTCATTACCTTATTTTCCCCTTCATCTTGCCCTTGCTCTATGAAAAGTTCCATTTTATTTTTAACAATTGACTTTGGTGTGATCGTATTGTTAACTTATTTTTCCATTACTTTGCCCTACACACTACAATAAGAGGAAGGGACAATTTTTTTTTTTTTTTTAACTTATATGTTCTGGATCACAGTTTATTTTCTTTATCGGGTGTTGAATAGGTTATTTGTACATGTTAAATAATTTTTTTAAAATCAAATACAAGGCTTGAATCAAAGTTATTAGGTTTTGTTGAATTCGTAACTACCATGACTCCATCCCTAGGTGCAATTTATTTGAAACATTGTAGTTATTATCAAGACAATACAATATGATACATTATAATACTGTATGAAGCAACAATTCAAGCACTTTCTAACATCTTTGTTTTGATGTTTGTTATCCATTGTATTGTTAGATAAAACACAATGTTTTTTTTATTATTTAAATTTAATTGCATCGTATAGTTAAATCCATCGTTAGTTAACATTGAAAAGTTTCATTTTGTGACGTTCAATTTGATGTGATCGTATCGTCATCTTAATTTTTCTTTCCTTTTGAGCTGATGGTCTTTCAAAAACAACTCTCTACCTTAGAGAGGTAGTGGTAAGACCTTCCTACAGTATATCCTCCTCATAGCTTGCTTTTGCAGAATTTCACCGAATATATTGTTGTTGTGGTGATCCTATTCAATTTCGAACACTATTTTTTTTTTAATAGTATTTATCATTAAAATTATTAATATATGACATTATGTAACGACAAAAAATGATATAATATATCCAAACATTGTATTAATTAAAATAATACGATACAATAAAACACACGATAAGAATAGCAAAAACATTTTTTGTATAAGAGCAAAGGGGGGGGGGGTCGGATTTAAATACAATAAAACTTTTGGGGTACAAAAATGATTTTCACCTAAATTGGAGACCATGAAGGGAAAACTATACAACTTTATATAGCCCCTTTTTCCCTTCTCATCTGCCAATAAGAAATCGTTGTTTGCCCTATTAGGTGCAAACTTTTCTCTATCCGCCGTCACCTAATTTGTGAATCTATACTCAAATTCAGCTTATTGTTTTTTCATAGGTATAAGAAAATCCTCTCAAATCTCATTCTATTCAATGTTTTAGTTAAGTTTTGTTGAAAACTATCATGGGTTTCTTTGAATCTTGATGTTGTAAAGTTTTTTAAAAAAAAAACATTTTCTTTCTCTTTTTCTTGTGGGTTTTGCTTATCATGATTGTTTGTTATGTGGGTATGTGTTAGAATTGTTAATTAGCTTTTGGGTTGTTGCAAGTTAGGATTTTTGTTAAGATCTTGTGAACTGTAATGAACTAATTACCTATTTCTATACTTGTTCTATCTGGGTTTTGCTTAGAATGGTTGTTTGTTATGTGGGTATGTGTTAGAATTGTTAATTAGCTTTGGGTTGTAGCAAGTTGGGTTTTTAATTAAGATCTTGTGAACTGAAATGGACTAATTACCTATTTCTATACTTGTTCTATGTGGGTTTGCTTAGAATGATTGTTTGTTATGTGGTTATGTGTTAGAATTGTTAATTAGCTTTTGGGTTGTTGCAAGTTTTTTTTTTTTTAAGATCTTGTGAGCTGAAATGGACTAATTACTATTTCTGTACTTTGTTCTATCTGGGTTTTGCTTAGAATGATTCTTTGTCGTGTGGGTATGTGTTAGAATTGTTAATTAGCTTTTGGGTTGATGCAAGTTGGGATATTTGTTAAGATATTGTGAACTAAAATGGACTAATCACCTATTTCTATACTCTGTAGGAGTCTTTTAGTCTATCTAGTGATTTGTATGCCATTAGGAAATGTAGAGAGGTTCTAGTGTTACAAAACCTCAAATTATTTGTGGTGGAATCGGTCTATATGGAGCAAAATGGATTGTCCCTGACTAGTTGGGGTTGAGGGGTAGGTGTTCTTGTATAGTGGATGTATAGCGGATGCACAAGCGAGGTCACGGGTTTGAGCTGTGGAAACAGCCTCTTGCATTCAGAAATGCAGTGTTCTTTTTGGGGTTTTAGTTTTTGCTATATCAGTGTGTGGTTAAGATCTTGATTCGATGGAAGTTAGAAAGCTAAGGTGTTTCTGGAAGATTCTGTTTATAGACTGAGTCCTTAGTGAAGAACCTGTGGTGTGTCAAATATTGGGAGTAACTTTAGGTGCTAGAAGCTCGATGCTTCCAAACTTTTAGCTTTCTCCTCTTTGCAGTGGTTTAATTGCTTTTTGGTGTGCACATTGAAATTGAAAGAGTGAGTTTTTATGCTGGGATTGTCTAATGGGGGAAGTGCCAAATCTTACCTTATTTTCCTTTTTGTTGATTGTAGCTTTTAAGGAGCTGCATAGTGAGCCTGTTTGTTATTTGATGATTGTGAATTGTGAATTTAAATGTTGTTACTTAACTAGTTATTTGTGTGTACATTTTACACATACTTGCAAAAAACTTGCATTAGCTTGATTGCTTCTCTTTAATGTCGTGGAAGACAGCCATATTGAATCCACATGCACACTGATTTTCTTTAAATACTATTTTATGCTATAGTTGTTTTTTCACTTTTTTTTGTAACTTTTTTTTGCTCTGAGCACACCTTTTATGAGGTAATGATGTCCATTTTAATTTTTTTTATGGGTGTTGGAGAAGTATATGATGATCATTACAACTTGGAATGCTGATATGACAGCAACTTGTTTTGTATTCGTACTGTCTGATCACTTCTGCAGCTACCGCCAAGATTGTTTATTGTCAATTATTCTTAATGTTTCTTTGAAGTGATTTGACTACATTTTTATCGTCTTTGCACTTATACATATGTTTTAGTTTCAAACTGAACCAGAAACTGTCAGTGGACTCCTTGAGTTTCCTGTTATTTGTTGTTCAAAATCTTCTTTTTTTCTTATTACTCAAGAGAACGAGATGATGAATATTATATTGTCATGACTGTTGTATGATACCATTCATCATGTATTCGTACTGGCTGATCGTTCTTCTTGAATTATATTTTCGTCTTGGAGTTTTTATTAATATCTGGTTTTCATTTTTATTTTGGGATTTAAAATGTATTCCTTGAACTATTACTTTTTGAGTATTGCTTAACTATTGAAATCTTTTCAGTCATATTTACGTATCACATTCTGAACCAACCATCAATTTGGAGAATGAGATGATGAGTGTTATACAAGTTTGATAGCTGATATGATGGCGTATTATCATGTATTAGCTCTAGCTGATCATTCTCTCTTGGGCGACTTAAATTGGTTCTTCCTGTGTGTTGAGTAGTCTTGTTAATGCATTTGATTGACATGCTTTAACGACCGGTCGATCTCTACCTTATACAAGTTAAAATATTAAATGACTTGTCTTCACACTTTTACCTTTTGACATTTTATCCTCCTAATATGTAGTTCTTAAGCCAATTTTTTGCTTGTTGACGCACCTTTTTAACATGAAATAGGTCAATATGGTTGTTGATTGAGAATGATATGATGAACTTCATACTAGTGATTGCTGCTGATATGATGGCATTTTATCATGTATTAGCTCTAGCTGATCATTCTCTTTTGTGTGACTTAAATTGGTTCCTCCTGTGTGTTGAGAGTAGTCTTGTTATTGCATTTTATTGATATGCTGCAATGACTGGTCAATCTCTACCTTACACAAGATATACACACAATTTAAAATATTAAATGAATTGTCTTCATACTTTTACCTTGACATTTTATCCTCCTAATATGGAGTAGTTCTAAAGGCAAATTTTTAATTGTTGACGCTCTTCTTTAACATGAAGTAGCTCAATATGGTTGTGGATTGAGAATGATATGATGAACTTCATACTAGTGATTGCTGATATGATGGCATTTTATCATGTATTAGCTCTAGCTGATCATTCTCTTTCTGTCCACTCTAATTTTGTTTCCTTGAATTGGTTTCCTTTTTTTTTTACCTAACATTATAATATCTTAGCTCTTGACTTGAATAATTAATTTCCTGGTTTTCTTCACATCTGATGGGAAATGTTGGGCTTTTTCCCTCCGTTGTTTTGTTGTTTGCCTTGAAAGAGAATTTTCTATGGTGCAATCTCATGTTTATTTGAATAATTTAACTAGACTGTAGCAAGGATGTGAGTAGTTGGGGATATTTACTGTATCTTCTCTTATTTGAAATATCTGAGTAGACATGCTTTGGCTTTTCTCAAGGAGTGTAGTTGCCTTTTGTTATCATCCTTCTTTTGCATCCTCAGTGTGGTTTATGTATTGGTTTATCTAATGAATTTTATTTTTGTACAAGAGCTTCCTCACTCATTTCTGTACTGTGGACAGATTAAATTGATTCTGTTGGAATGAGGAGGAGAAGTTACAGCCCATCACCACAGAGAGGTTATGGCAGAAGAGGAAGGAGTCCGAGTCCCAGAGGTCGATATGGTGGTCATAGTAGTGATGGTCCGACTAGTCTTTTAGTTCGAAACCTTCGCCATGATTGTCGGTATGCACTAATGAGTGTCCTCAAATTTATGATATGTTTGAAGTATTCCATGTCTTCCTTTTGCCACTTCATTCCCGAATTGCTATATCAGTTTTTAGTGATTTTGAGCTTGTAACCGATCATGTAGATATATTACTTTTATAGAAAATTCTCAGATGATTCTTATCTTGAGGCTATGTCCATAGTGAAGCGGGCCAAGATGACAAATTGTTGGTATAAGCAGAAACAGTTGTTGAAAAATCATGCTGTTAGGATTCAAGAAATATAATTGTGTTACTTCCCTTCATTGTATTACATTACCAGTAGACTTGTAGTACTTTTATAAATTGGTACCCCACAGTTTACTGCTTGCATGCAGGCCAGAAGACCTCAGAAGGCCGTTTGGGCAATTTGGCCCTGTGAAGGATATTTACTTGCCAAAGGACTACTACACTGGGTGAGCTTGTTTTGCATGTGATTATTCATCTGCTCAATTCTTCTGGTCTCAGAAGGAAGAAGAAAGAAAAAAAGAGCGGAGTCTCTCTCTCT